TGTAATTCTGATAAAAATTGTTCATTTTGCTCGGGAAATTCTCCTATACTTGATTCACAAATCAGAAAATTTGAAAGGCTAAAAGTAATTCTTCTTAACATTGGCACTAGTAAGACTAAAATCAATTCTTCTTAGCATTGGCACTAGTAAGGCTAAAAGTAATTCTTCTTAGCATTGGCACTAGTAAGGCTAAAATATTTACGCCCAGATTTCTGTGTATTCACTTAAAGCAAATTCATGTTGGTAATAATTATCTTGGATGTTTTTTACTTCGGTTGCAGGGGATGAATGAAACATTGTTATAAAAACAACAAAGATGAATTTAGTAGTTTAAAAATGTATTGAATAACTGAATACTTCATATTAGAAACTCAGCGAATTCTTACAACAAATAGGTTATTAAGAGGACATGAAATTAATGATTTGATTCCAGACTTGTAAGAATATATTTCCGTTTTGATATAAACACACACACAAATAAAAAAATCATTCAAAAATTACCTTTTTGGACATTTGTGGACATTAAACTTCGATACTGAACGAAAGAGAAAAATATTCCAAGCATTTTTATTTCGTGACTGTTTGTTTAGAAGTTTTGTAAATTCCCTGGATCTAACAAATGGGAAACAAAAACTTTCATTCATGAGAATTTAATGGATTTTACGTATATTTCCCCCTTTAGACTTTCTATTTTACGAACGGTTCTTAAAAGTTGATTTCAACTTGGGAAGAGTATAAATAATAAAAAAATACCAGTAGCTTTTTGTGAGGAATTTCTCCCAAAGATAAAAACGAGAAAAGAATATTCGACAGTCTGCTCGAAGAAGATTCCTGAAAATAAAAAAAAATATATATATATATATATAATTTTCAATTTTAATTTTAAATTTATTATTATTATTATTATTATTATTATTATTATTATTATTATAAGAGATTTAATTGATTTAAACAAATGACAATTTATAAGCGAAAACGAGAATAACTGGTTTCTAAAGCAAACAAAAAAAATACCAAAACGAGAATATTTGTCTATGTATATTGTTTACTGTTCCAGGTAAAATCATTTTTTTGTCTTTAAATATATTACATTGTGGATATTTGGTTGTGAGTTTCGTTTTGTAAAACATTCAGAAAAAATCGTATTAAAAAAAACAAAAATTTATAAAAAAAATTCATAGTATGGGTGTATCTGCCCTCTGTACAAATTATGGAACAAAGAAAAACCCTGAAATAAACATGGTGTCGAAAGAATTTGATGCCAAAATACAGAAAGATGAAAAGAGAAAAAGAAAATAAAGCGTAAAAATGACGGTAATTAGATTTAATCTGAGAAAAGGGCGAGGACTTTTTCTTTTTTTTAAGTTTAAAATCATATTTTAAGTAATTCGCGCAAATTATTTGGAGAAACTGTCTGCAGAAATGTCATGTCATATAAGAAAGATTTTATGTTGTTAAAGAAATATAATAATGTATACTGTCTTACTTTTTCAATCACCATTATTATTATTATTATTATCATCATTATTATTATTATTATTATTATTCAATGACTACATTAGAGAGAAAAAGACGTTACGACTTAAAGGTAGGTTTGTTTGGTCAAATATTTAACTTCTATATTTATTCGTAAAGTTTCACATGTTGCAGTTAAATATTACATGATTAATGAAATTTTATTCTAATGTACTTAGTTACGTAAATAAAAATGACTATTTACTCAATCTGAGCTAATAAAAGGGAGACTTATGAAAACACAAATGGAATACGTATGCCTTTAGCTTTCATTATGACAATGAAATCGGTACGGCGAAGGCTTCAGTGGAGATTATAATATATTATTGTATTATTATATTAATATTATTGTATTATTATATTAATATTATTGATTATATCATATTATATTATGAAAAACAAATCGAAATAGTCTACGAATGATACTATCTTATATGCAAATGCTTTCATTCACAGTTCCCACCAAAGTTAGATAAATATAATAAAAGTCGTATTTTCACCAGAATTTCGAGGACAATAAGCTGTAAATAAAATGGTCATTTGGAAGATGTATGAAATAGAAGTTTCTTTTTTTTTCCGTTTTTCTCAAAATTAAATGAATGCTTGTAATATCGGCAGCACACAATGACACACTGATCAATAGATTAGGTTTTCAATACAAACAATTAAAACTAAAATTATTTCCTTTCTCACTAGGGATTTACACTTGTGTTCGACGATCGTATTAAACTCTAAGTTTAGCAAATATAAATAAATAAATAAAAAAAATACAAGTGACAAAGATTTAATGGGAGATGATAAACATGGGAAAAGAATTACACATATGTCAATTACTTAGAAATAGATTGTATTTAGGGTTTATACATGTGCGTATGCCTAAAGCAGAGTGGGGTACTTCATTATTGCAAGCAGACGTTAACATATAAATATAATTTTGAAAACTTATAGGGTCACTTGTATTGGGAACATATATTTCATGATCATTATTTCATAGATATTGTTGAAATGAGTATATAGTTTAAGTGGGTTCTTACCATTATTTCTTATTAATATTAATGTTTTTATAATGGGTAAATGTGTTTTATTGCCTTTTTTCCCTTTTAAACAGTGAATAGTAGAATTTCTGGATGCTGGCCTGTTGTTACTAGTTTCATAGTTTAAGAGAATAGAAATAAACAGAGATAGCAACTGAAACAAAATAGTTTTTAAATGAATAGATATACAGAAACAATTTTTCATAATTTCTCATATGTGATTTTAACAAAGTCAAAAAGCAAAATAATCGTGATGACTTTAAATAAATGATTATGTTTGATTTTCTTTCACATAACATGGCATTTCTTAAATCTTGGAGGACATGTAACTAATTTATTGATAAAAAAACAAATAAAAATTCAACGAAAGAATCATTTGAAAGAACAGAATTTGCAGTTTCCCTCGTAATAAATTAAAAAAATTCAATTCATATGTTTTTTCAAGTTGCAGGTAATAATGATAGTAATACACTGCTTCGCATTTCACATACAAAGACACGCAAATGCACACACACACACACATACACACACGAATAAACATTAAAACAGAGAAAGACACACACGCACACAGATAAACATAAGTACACATGGTGGCCGTGCACAGATGAATGTCGGGATATTGAAATAAATTTTAGTACAAACTACGTTAGTTGTCTAACGAAATTAAACAATTATATATATATATATATATATATATATATATATATATATATATATATATATATAAACGATAATACAAGTGCAACGATTGGTGTATACGGAATAAATTCCAATAACCAAAACATACTATTCATAAAGAGTGCTCAATACAGTAGAGCAAATATAATTTATTCGAAAATTATAATATAAATATGTTTTACATTCAACACCATCACTTGATAAAACACCAGAAGTGTTGAAACAAAATGGCTATTTTTAATGATTCTATAACATATTTATGTTATAATTTTCGAATAAATTATATATATATATATATATATATATATATATATATATATATATATATATATAAGGAACAGCGAGTTCAAAATAGAGTAACGGCATTCTGTTTCATGCTTGAATGCATTCTTTAAACCTGAAAATAATTTGCTGATTGCGTTCAAGTAGGAAACAGACTGTCACCATTCAGTGTTGTCCTCGGTTTCCACTTTTATATTTGCACATAGAAAGTGAAAGATAGATAGTCCAAAGCAAACAGAGAGTCACCACGTGATGATAATTTATATGTGCACGCTCTATAAGTAAAAAAGGTTCTATTTATTATATTGATCCCTTTTAAACACACACACACACACACACACACATATATATATATATATATATATATATATATATATATATATATATATATATATATATATATATATATATATATATATATATATATATATATATATATATATATAGATAAAATTCTGTCTATCTATCTATCTGGACTATATGTTCATATTCGTTAAAAAAGAAAATTAAATTAAATTGCAGCGTTCCCACGCCTTCAACGTTTACATTTGTGCATAATTGTAACAGAAGCTCACGATTTTAAATCTCGCCTCTACCTACACATATATAATTCCATCAATAAAACATTACCATAACCCGATGAATCTTTCTCGAGGATGGAACCTGTTATACATTTTTTCCTCATTGCATTGCACAACATTATTCTAACATATAGAAATGTATATATATCATATTATTCTACACACACACACACACACACACACACACACACACACACACATATATATATATATATACATAAATTATATATATATATATATATATATATATATATATATATATATATATATATATATATATAAACATAAATTATATATATATAAATATAAAATTATATATATATATATATATATATATATATATATATATTCAATATATATAATGAGAAAGCCAAACTCGATAGACTGGTGAATACAAGTACACAGCCATTTTTTAAAGTTTATTATTTATGTTGGTAAATAAATACTTGATTCTTTATTAGATAACGAGGATTTAAAAAAAAACTTGTGAAATTCAATAGATGAAGAAATATATGATACCACGAATACTCTGTCATTATGTCAAAATTTGATTTTCAAATCAAAGAAAGATAAAGAAGAGGGCAACGAAAACCTATAGCTCCATGGAATGGATTTTCTCTTTTTTCGTGATAACCTAAACTAAAACCTGTAGTATCACAGGGATGTTTTCTACCTCAATGAATTGTGAAAGAAAGAGTTTTAAATAATAAAAAGATTTTAAAAGAAAATTTTCCAAAAAAAAAAAAAGACTAAACTAAATAAAGGAAATATTTTGAAATAAATCTGGACGTTCCTGTCTCCAGATATTCAGCTGCTTGCAAGCCTCACGTGTTGTTTTTTTTTTTTTTCATTTTCGAAATCATTGTGCATTACAATTTGTGTAATTCTATATTCCTTTCATTTAACAAAAATGCTTATCTCTTTTGTCATTCGATTCCTAACGAGCATGCAACTTCTATCTCTGACTGGAAACAGGTAAGCTAACTGAAATAATTGAGAGCATTTTTAACAAGGGAGTGCTTAATGATTTACAATAATTAGCTAATTAACAACCGGTCTTAATTATAGGATTCAATTATTATCATTTCCAATTTACCAGAATTCATAGAAAATCTACCTGCATAAAAAAAATCTGAAAGCGATTTCAAATTTTACAAAAATAATCACCATCAACGATTCAGTAAAATATTTAAGTGAAAATAATGAATGATGTAACTCAATAAATTTTACTAATATTCGAAAGATATATTGCATCGTTTTTATCACTAATAATTTTAATTTCATACATATTTTCATCGCGCATTGATAGGTATTGCTGCATGCACTTACTGTGAATGTGGCTAAAAAATAAAGGATGCACTTCCTGCGGATACGGAAAATACATCCTTTAGTCATATTTCCATATATTTGTTTCGTGAAATATAATTAAATTACCCATGTTAAATAATAATAATAATAATAATAATAATAATAAAGCTGATCATTTTCTGTAATTTCAACTTTCAAAATGATGGCGAAAGTCATGCAAATCGACCAGTCATGATTTGAAAAATCATGTTGAAATAGCTTGTTCTCTGATAGATGTTGCAGACCCAGCTAAGAAAATTTATCTTTGAAACTAGACAAATACAAACAGCTTGAGATAGAAATTGGCAATATATGGCATCTCAAGACCACGGAATTTCCTCTTGTCTTGTTATCTTTTGTAATGATACCAATATGTGCAAACAGATATGTGAATTGATAAAAATCATACTTATATGTACTTCTCTCATTTTCCGTAGATTTCTCTCGATGCAATTCAGAAAATTTCATTTTTCTGATTGCATAATACCCCAGGTGTTTACATCTAATACAAAAAAACAAAAAAAACTCGTTATCTCTGACTATTAGTTGAGGATTTGTGACTGTCTTCTATCACAACTACTAAGGGGTCTGCACAATTTCCCACATAAGGTTAGAGTCAACCAGTAGTATTTATGTTCAGGGACTACTCATCGTTTCTACATGCTGCCATCGACACACCAGAAATATATAATTGGAAGATATTATTCAAACGCTGTTCACATTAATGCTAAAAATTAAGCAATAATTCATGCAACTATACTGTGGTAAAGGGTAAAAATTTAACAGAAATTGAAAGAGTTTTTTTTTACTGTTTATCAAATGCTCTGCCATCTGGCCTCGGCAATGCAGTTGAAATAAGCGTCATGAAATACAAGGGACATAACTCTAGTTCGTATCTGTCTTCAATAAAAGGAAAATAAATCATGACGCAAAAAGTTACAGACAAAATGAAAATAATACATAAGTGTTTTCTTTGCATTCTATGATATAATAGCAAATAATATGTAGAAAATTTCACGATAAAACCATAGAATGAAATGTTTGCATATTATCAAAATCATATTTTTTTCTGAATTACATTATACTTTATTTATCCTAAAATGATCTTTTGTTTCGATTTGTAAAATTTGAAATCACTGATGAAACTTTTCTATGGTTTCTAAAAAATAGGTGATTATAATAAATGATTTCTAGTTATAGCTGTCATTGTCAATTATCTAATTATTGAATATCGCTTACAAGTATGTGTTAATTATTTTCTCAATAACTGTAAGTTAGCAGCAATTTTAGACTAATCTACTTGCATCCAGTCAGTAGCACAATCATTATGGTTGTCAGGTCGTTCTGCAATATCATCGTATGCAATACGGGAAAGATTGACGGTAAGAAAATTACTCTTTTTTACATTATTCGGACTATTGTCCTCGTCTTTGTCGCCATATTTATTACAACGTTTCGGCCGTTTTACGCTCCAGCCCTTTTCATTTGGTTGGATTGTCGAACTGAACCCTTTATGTGGCTCACTGGGGTAGACTATTCTAGTTCCACGTGCCATGTTTTAATGGATGTCAGTTGTGAATTATCTCCAGTTAGTTCTCCACTGCCTTAACTGGGTATTGAACTCACACTCTTTGGGTCCTGTCACTGGATCTAACTAACGCCTTTTATCCACTGTGCCATGTGTCCTCAAGGACCCAACGAGTGTGAGTTCAATACCCGGTTAAGGCAGTGGAGAACTTGTAGAGGGGAATTAACAGGAGATAACTCACAACTGATATCCATTAAACACGGCACGTGGAACTAGAACAGTCTAACCCAGTGAGTGAAATAAAGAGTTCAGTTCGACATTCCAACTACCTGAAGAAGGTCGGAGTATACAACGATCGAAACGTTGTAATAAATATGGCGACAAAGATGAGGACAATAGTCCGAATAATGTAAATAGTGTCCATAATACCTCATCTCAGAAATATAGACAGTTACCAAAATTACTCTTTCTGAGATATTTATAACGGCCACCAGAGATCAACTTTGAACGAAAGGATTTCGAATGTTGATTTTCTAGGTACGCATTCAAGCCCTCCTAACTTGGAAGATTGGCCTAACATATTCTTCCAAACGAACGCTTAATCATTTAGATTTGTAACGCATTTCAAGCGCAGTAAATAAAATGGGTATTACATACGTTTCTCAACAGAAAAGAAAAATGAAGATGTTTTTTTTTTAAATGTTTGATAAATTATTGGAATTTTTATGATTATTCAAAGGATCCGCGTTTTATTTTATTTTTAATTTTTTACGTGACATTATCTTAACAAGATATTCTCCACAGACATTCTTTTGGTAATTCGAATGTAAAATTCGGAAACATGCGTAAGTAATCAATATTTGATTGGTCATCAAAATTATTCATATTTGTTTTTATTTCGATGCTCTTTTTATTGCAACTCCTAATGTTACTATGGAAATAATAATAACATCTAGCTTTCATTCATATATTTTTAAAATACAATAATCCCATTAAAAATTGTATTTATCTTTTAAAATGTCTATACAGTTGAACTTCGGTTCACGAATTCAATTCGTTCCTGAAGGCCTTTCGTAACCCGAAATGTTCGTAAACCGAAACTATTTTCCAATCAAAATGAATGTAGAGAAAAAAAAAAGACACAGTACAATAAAACTGGAAAAGAAAAGCTCAGCACAATCCACGAATGTATACAAAACGGCAGTCGACTCAGAAATTATTCCGTTCGTGTTAACTCGGTTCGGCTATGTTGTTCGAGAACTGAAATGTTGTTCGATAACCGAGGCATTTTCATCTCTGTTCGAAAACCGATTTGTTCGACATGGGAGACTTTCGACAACCGAGGTTCCTCTGTATAAGTATTCCCATTTCAATCTGTAAAGAAATAAATGGTTATTCATCTTTATTTCATAACATTGAAAATAAACATCGAAATATGAACAAAACGGTGTTTTTCTTTTGCTCACTCTAACATTGATTATCTACGCATGTTTTACTTATATGTTTTATTTTTCAGGCTTGTCTTGCAGAGAAAGGAAAAAAAATGAATACCTTCAGTGAGATGGTGTTTTCACAAATCGTGTTAATTAAGAAATGATAGCATCCTCTTATGAAATTGTAATAAGTTTCGAGTCAAATTACAGCAGAAAATGACATACAATTGGCGCATGTTCCAAAAGCGATTACCCAGTGATTGTTTCCAGTTAACCGTAAAGAATTTTTTTGGAATAAAGTTAGCAACCAAACACTATGATTTGCATAATACATACAAGAAAATGATAAACAAAACAATATTTTGTTTGAAAATTATTGAATCAGTATTATTTTAATAAATATTAAATAATCAGAAATAATGTTTTGTATTAACTTGTTTGTTGTCGTCAATTTTTCATTTTCATTTCATTTTCCTATTTTCCTAATATTAAATATAATTAAGCCTGATTCATTCTGCTTGTACGTTTTAAATCGCTTATAAATAATATTAAAATTTAACACAGTATATTACATCTCACTATAAAGCTAAATGTTTTTGCCTTCATATTTATAACTTTTTACTTTGTAGAATTATCTCTCTTGAAATTGCAAAATTATTATACGAGTTTTCTCTCTTGCATTGGCGATGTGAAGTACTAGATTATTTCCCTTGCAATGGCGATGCCTTTTAATGGACTTATCTTCTGTGCACAGCTGTGGCCATCTTGTAGAGTGTTATAACAATCCCATCACTTCCAAGTTATTTGGTAAATTGTAAATAGGAAAAAGGTTGTCGTGGACCGTGTGTATTTACCTGTTGTTGTATTAGAAACACATGTGTAACTCCTGGTAGAATATTAAAAAGTCCAACTACAAGAAAATGGCCAGACTCAAGTTAAGTCCAACTGAAGTTGAAAGGAAAACAAACAACACCGATATATATATATATATATATATATATATATATATATATATATATATATATATATATATATATAAACAAATATATGTATTAAACAAAACAATTTTACAATGGACATAGACAATAATATTTTGTGTGTGTGTGTGTGAATGTTTGTGTCTGTTCTTTGGTGAATGTTCGTACGTGCGTGTATGTGTGTATAATGTTCATGACGTCTCCCACAAATGGGAAGACGCGGATCTTCTATGAGAGCTTACATTGTAGTCGCTGAAATGATGCGAGGTGGGATGCGGCACGATGTCTGAAGGAAACAGAACGAGGCTAGAAGTCGCCCATTATTTATAGTATAGGGAGAATGACCCCTAGTGACAATTTGGGAATTAAGGAGGCGCTAACTCCGACAGGGTCTTCACTTTGAAGAAACACTCTATAATAGCAATAACTTCAAATTATGTTTAAAACGTCTTGATTTTTACGTTATGTACAAATTCTTTTATATGCCATATTTTTTCAGGATACAAATATCATGTTTTCTCACTGCCTCTTATTGTTAGCAAAAACGAGTAAACTTCTATAAAATACTTAAATCCATTAATATCATTTCTAAAACATAAATTGATGAAAATTGTTATTGTTTTTTACTGAAAAAAAATTCATTTCTGAAAATATATTGTTGGATGAACTGTAGGCTTAATATTAACATTACGCGAACAGGCATAGATGATATTACGCATTCCACGTATTATGTGATCTCATATCAAATTTATTCGCCGCCAAATACGACGACAGGCGGCGCTTTTATCACTGACAAACACTTTCCGGAAGATTACAGCTATCGTCAGGCAGTGAATAATCGACATGCGTGGTGGGAAATTTAATCACACGTGTTTTGACCGGACAACCCATCAAGCTAACATTTTGTTTTTTTTTAAACTTTTCTTTCTTGCAATCATTCTTTCTTTCTTTCTTTCTTTCTTTCTTTCTTTTCTCACGTAATACTTTATTTCTGCTCCACTTTCTTTTCTTTCTCTCCTGTTTTTATTGAATTCATATTAACTAATTCACATTATTTTAAAGTCACTCTTTCCTAGCTGTCTTCTTTCTTTCTTTATTTATTTCAGCTTATTTTAAAATCCTTTTTCCTTGTTCGCTTCAGTTTTCTTTCTCTCTTTTATACCAATTCTTTTAGTTTCATTTTCATAATAAAATTCATTCAGCATTAGGCTCGAGAGTCAAATGGCGTGGAGGATTATTAGTAAAACGTTTACGATAAATGTATGTGATATATTAGAAATAATGATTTTGTAGCAAGTGCTGACTAGGATCCTTGACTTGAAGAGTTTCCACGCATGTTCCACAAACTAGTGGTTCTTGGAAAACTGTCTGAATAGAGCGTTCTACGTAAATTTCTAATACGGGGGAAATGAGGACGATTCGCTTCTGTGAAGTAGCATGGCATGCCCTAACAGCAAAGGCCTGGAATGGAAGAGCAAAAGAGACTGTTTGAATTGTTGCCATGGTAGCATTAATACTGATAAGCTTGTAACGTTGCGTCTTGTCTGCAGATCAGATATGGCTACAATATTTCAGTTTTTGTCTGATCTCACACTTATTAAAATAAAGCATGACAGAAGGAGTCAAATAATTTCTGGAGCAATACAACCACCCGGCTATGTTCCTAGTATCATTAGAAGTGGCTCATATAGAATTCTATTTGAGGTCTGGATATATTTTCTCCAACAGATGAACAAAAAAAATGAACCTCTTTGACGGTACCATCATTCATCATGACTGGAGTATCTACCAATTTATGATGAAACTATACTGGCCTGGTTTTTGAGCCATTGAAATTTACAGACCAGTTTGTGTTCGATAAACAGCGAGTATAATTACAATCATTTCCGTAATATTTTTTTCAGAGGTATCTCTTACGAAAAAGTAATTAAGGATATATATACTCAAAGTCGTTATATGAAAAATCTCATGATAATGATTGAAATCAAATTCTTTCCCAACAGTCAAATGTATTGTAAACTCGAATATAAACGGTCAGGATCTTCATCGAAGAGAGTGGGATGAGGTTTGAAATTAAGACACGTGAACACTATTGGTGATGAACAAAGAGTAACCAACCTGTAAGTTTTCTGAATACTCGTAGCGAAAAAGGATCTTAAAAGTTGAGTATTGGGGAGAGAGAGAGAGAAAGAGAGTGCGACTTGCACATCACTGAATGAAGAAAAGTAATACGCTTAAAATAATTTGAAAATTTCTACGTGTGTATGTGTGTGTGAGAGAGAGAGAGAGAGAGAGAGAGAGAGAGAGAGAGGAAGAGACAGTGATGGTTTCAGATAAAAAAGACAAAATATTTCAAAAAACAGTAGAAAACTAGACGACGGAATAAATATGTGTGCAGTTTCTATTGTGACATATTCGGAGACTTTCTAAATGGATATAAAATGAATCAGAAATTTACACTACATAACAATAAACAGGGTAATAATGCATAAAGTTTTATAACTGAAATGGTTAGCAATCTTGTCTTGCTAGATCAATTACGACTGAGTATTGGGTTCGATCCACACAGGCTGCTCTACACATTCGGCCTTGTGTCTCAGCTAAGCTACCCTTAGAAAATCGTTCGGATACCTCGAGATAGTGTAACGGTTAGCAAGCTTGTTTCGCTAGATCAATTACGACTGAGTATTGGGTTCGATCCTCACAGGCTGCTCTAAACATTCGGCCTTGTATCACAGCTAAGCTACGCTTAGAAAATTGTTCGGCTACCTCGACGTGGTGTAATGGTTAGCAAGCTTGTCTCGCTCGAACAAATATGATTGAATTGTGAATACGGTCCTCACTGGGTGCCGCATACTTTCAGCTTTGTACCACATCTAATCTATGCTTAGGAAATCGCCATAAAGTTTATAACTGAAAAAAAAGGGAAAGTGGTAAAAAGAGGACAGCTCTATCGCGGACGAATTATTTTCACAAAACAGACACGACACGAATAATAAAAATAAAACACAACAAAGCATCACCATCTTTTATTGCAAACAGATGCACAATAATTATAAGCAAGATGAATTTGTTGTAAGGAAAACCATTAATCAGCATATTTCTGCTGTAACTCCCGGAAAACATATAAAGTTCATGACATAGAAAATGGAAACTGCAAACCTCGTCCATGTTAGAATGCTGGAAAAACTCAATAAAAGATTATTTAAATCTTTCTTGTCGGGCGTTTTCAATGAAACACACACACACGCATTAATAAAAACAAAAGGCAACTTATCTTCGTCGACGCGTTCCATCCTCTGAGGGACTTTATCAATGTAAATTTGCCTTGATGATATCCCTCAGAGGATGAAACCCGTCGACTAAGATACGTTTTCCTTTTTTATTATTATATTGTCCTTTTACAGTTATACTATAAATATATATATATATATATATATATATATATATATATATATATATATATATATATATATATTTTAACGGAAATTTTGTTTTTTAAAATGTGTTTATTTTATCTATCGGCCTCAGATAAAAAAATCATTAAAATTTAATTCTTTTAGAAATATATATATATATATATATATATATATATATATATATATATACAGTATACTCCACTATAAAGAGGTTTAGGACAGAAGACGCTTTCTCTTCCTTTCATCTCTTGTCGAACTAACTGCGGAGAGGAACCCAGTGGAGGCTATGCCGAAGGGCAAAGTCTCATTTGGGGAGGTAGACAAATCCAACAATACGGTTCTACAGGCAATGTTTACCCGCGCCTACGGGCTCGGAACGTTCCACGTTAAAAACTGGCCTTGTGCCACATCTTGCCTTGTGGGGAAGTTGGTAAAGAGAAAGGTTTAGGACATCAGATGTTCGAGATGATGATGTCTAATTACAGAAGCCCAAATCTGCATACGGTCTAAGAAGACAAATAAGGAATTTGGAAATTCGTAAATAACAATGCAGTCTACAATTATCACAATAGACAATTTGATGGAATTGCAGATGAAAAGACATGGACAATATTGTGCCAGAGAAAAATAATATCTGCTATTGCTGGATAAATATACATAGGAACTAATTTTCTAAAAACCAGTTCGATTGAACACTAGAGAATATTAAATACCAAAGATCTGAAATTAGAGACGTGACAGTCAGATAATAATGGCATTTGATAACAATGTTAACAATGAAAGATTATCAACGTGGGATGACTGAAGGCTATGATTCAATCAATAAAAGCCAATAGATATCCACGAACCTAAAACTATTTGAAGTAACAAAAAAAATATAAAATTCTCTGGAACTTTTGGAAATTCTCTAGAGATTCAAACGGATCACCCAATAGAGCCCATGAAAACAAGTCGTGCATTACCGCCATGAACTTCACTTATTGATTCATACAACACACAGTAGCTTTCTTGCTTGCTTGTCTCTTGCGCCTTGTATTGGGTAAACAATAGTATAAAACATCATCAGAACGGCAGCTTTCCAGGAATTATGCAAAATACTGTGATGAATGTTAGAGTACTGAGTAGATTTGCTATCACTTGGTCTCCAATGGGTGCAAGGACACCAGACACGACATATGTGATATCTCAACTCATAAAACATTATATGAAGACTGAAGCCTTTTCAAACCGTCATTCTTTTCTTACATACATTTCTTTCTTTCTTTCTTTCTTTCTTTCTTTCTTTCTTGATACTGTGCAGCAAGGTTTATTTTTTCTTTCCTTTTCTTTTCTTCTCTTCCCGTCTCCCCTTTCCTGTCAAGCATTTTGTTTCCTTTTCTTTCTTTCCGCGACGGCTACCGTATAATAATAGGACTGGAAAATTTTTTCAAAGCATCATTCCCTTTCTTTCTTTCTTTCTTTCTTTCTTTCTTTCTTTCTTTCTTTCTTTCATCAATAATACTGTGTTTCAAGCCTTTCCATTTTTCTTCTTTTTCTCCCTATCTCT